CGACGAACAGCGTTCCCCTCTGTTCCCCCGCACACTCGCGCGAAAACTCGCATGCAACTAAACTATCTACTTGGTCTCTCTCAAGTCATGGACTCTCCAATATTGCCGCTGCGTTATCGTCCAACGTCACCGCGTACATATACTTTACCGTATAACCCGTCTACGTGCGCGCACTTCCGTACGTACACGCGAATCAAATGCGCGGGCTAAAACGAAGAAAGGAAAAAAGAAAGAAAAGAGAGAAAAAAGCATTATTGGTATTCAAATGGAGGATCGTATCAAGGGCGTAGAGCATGGGGTACAACGTGCCTCGTAATATTGTTTGTACGTCGTTTTGTCCGTGTGTGATTGACGGCATGTAATTACCTTCTCCACTACTACTTTCTTCTTCTTTTTACCATTCGTCTCTTTTTCGTTCACCACCTTAAATTACTTTCGACTTGATGATTTGCAACCGCTGTTGCCGCGACTGTTGGCCGATATCTTTGTTTCTACTCTCGATCGTATCTCAGACAGCCGTCTTCCGTTCTCGCTGTCTGCGACGCGTCTTCTTTTCATTTCGAACAAATTGAATGGACGAACAGACGGACGATTGTAGAAGAAACGTTCTCTCTCGCGCGTTGTAAAAACGCGGGTTCTATTTTTCGCTTTCTTCTTTTGAATGTATCTCTCCTTCTTATATACAAAGGGGTTATTAACTCTGGCTACGGACATTACGCTTATCGCTTCACACGTTGTTTCTGCATATAAAATGTAAATACATATAACGACGTAATGATCTTCCGGCAAACGGGACAAACTGTGAACGACTCCGCGTACTCTTTCGTTTACTCTTTAGTTCTTTTCGTTTCAACTGTTGGACAATTTCAGTTTGACACCGAGGATGATTTTGATTGCTACTTGAAGCAGTTTTGTATATTCCTGTCTTTATTATATATAGTTTATTATTCCCTATCCGTGTACGTCTGTGGGTATACATGAGAGTGTGACTGTGAGTGTGACGCGGGGCGGATATGAAGTGCACGGATTGATTATGGATTGCGTTACAGTGCCGGGGGATCCTCAAAACGTCACAGCCACTGCGATCAACTCGACGGCAATACGGGTCCAGTGGAACCCGCCGAAAGAGAAAGATCAGAACGGCGTTATACGTGGCTACCACATACACGTGCAGGAAGTGAGAGAGGAGGTCAGTTGGCGTCTGATCGATTTTCCAAGTTTGACCAAATTTTCAGGTTTAATATGGAAGCACGATGACGACTAACGTCACATTAACACGTACAATTTTATCAGGGGAAAGACCTACTGAACGAACCGATACGTCGAGATGTACACGAGGACGGCGTGCTTGAGGTGAATATCACTGGATTGCAACCCGACACGAGATACTCGGTGCAGGTAGCGGCTCTAACGAGAAAAGGAGATGGAGATCGTTCGGTACCGGTTCATATTAAGACACCGGGCGGTGTGCCGAACAGACCGCAGGTCAATGTGAAGTAAGAATCGTTTCTAAAATCGCGAGATATATCGCACTCTCTTCGCACTCTGCGTCGACACAACGATTTTCCTGCTTTTCAGAGTCCTCAGTAGGGGTCCCGACGTTTTAGAACTCGAGTGGGCAACACCTACTCAAACTTACGGTAGCCTGCTGGGATACCGTATCCGCTATGGTATAAAGAACCAAACGCTAAAGGAGCAATTCATTGATAACATGAATCAGCACACGTACAAGATTACAGATCTTGGTAAATATGATCAAAAGCATTCGTTAATTCGCGGGAGCCTTCAATGCGAGCCTCTTTTTCTCTTGCTTGATACGACGACGACGATCTCTACAGGTGAACAAGGCGTGGACTATGAGTTCAGGGTGGCGGGCAAAAACAGCATCGGTTACGGCCAGGAAACCGTACGATACTGGTTCAGTCCGGAGGGCGAGCCAACCGGACCACCGACGAATCTGTCGTATTTCTTTCAAACTCCCGACACCGTGTGCGTCACCTGGGATAAACCGCAACGACAGCACAGAAACGGACAGATAATCGGCTACGATGTGCAATTCAACAAGAAGAACGATCACTCTACCACCATCGACAGAAACACGACCAAGACCAGGGCGGTGTTTACCAATCTCGAGGAGAACACAGAGTACGTGTTTCACGTACGAGCGCACACGTCACAGGGTAGCGGTCCATATTCCGAAAAGATTACGATAATTACGGAAAAGGACATCGGCAGGGCGCCAATGTCCGTGAGAGCCGTGGCGACGTCGGACTCTAGCGTGGAAGTGTGGTGGGAACCGGTGCCTAATCGAGGCAAGATCGTCGGCTACCAGATCTTCTATACAACGACCGCCGTTGAGGACCTGGATGAGTGGAAGCAGAAGATCGTCGGTCTGACGGAATCGGCAGATCTAATCAATTTGGAGAAGTTCACGCAATACGCTATAACGGTGGCGGCACGTTACAAGACTGGCCTAGGGAGACTCAGCGAAAAGGTTACGGTGAAGGTAAAGCCGGAGGACGTGCCGTTGAACCTAAGAGCGCCAGACTCGTCCACGCACTCGATGACGCTCTCTTGGACACCACCCATTAGGTTGACTCCGATGAAGTACAAAGTGTCGTTCGACGCTGTGAAGGAGTTTGTGGACTCGCAGGGTATAACGCAGACGCAGATTGTGCCGCGTCGTCAGATTCTGCTGGATCCTCAAGTAACGAGCACGACGATAAATGAGTTGCAGCCGTTCACGACTTACAGCGTCAACGTGAGCGCCGTACCGCGCGACTCTCAATACAGACCACCGGCTAAAATCACAGTTACTACGCAAATGGCTGCGCCTAAGCCGATGGTGAAGCCCGATTTCTACGGCGTGGTGAACGGCGAGGAGATCCAAGTGATTCTGCCGCAAGCCTCCGAGGAGTACGGCCCGATCTCGCATTACTATTTAATCGTCGTGCCCGAAGATAAGAGCACTACCGATAAGCAACCGGACGAATTGACCGAGGACATGATCACGGGAAAAGGTGCCAAGCAAGAGAGGGAAAACGCACCTTACATCGCGGCCAAGTTTCCCCACAGGGATATTCCGTACACGTTCCACTTGGGAAGCGGAGATATCTACGAGGGATACGAAAATCGAAAACTCGTCAAGAACAAACGGTACAGGATATTCGTACGGGCCGTAGTCGACACTCCGCGAAAGGTAAGAAATAAGATATAAACGTGAGAAATAAGATATAAAGATAGCGTTTCATCGTCCATTGTTTTGTTCATAATACAATGACAATATCTTTCGCCTTACTAAATTGATGAATCTACTAGATGTTAATATATAATTTTAAATTGAACTTTTTGCAAATTGAAACTTCTAAAGAACAAGTGTCCTTCCTTCCTTCCTTTCAGCATTTGTACACGTCGTCACCATTTTCCGAGTACTTGTCTTTGGACATGAGAGAAGTACCTCCCGGCGAGCCGCCGCGTCGACCAAACCCCAACACACCCCCGGATGGAAACCCAGAGGTGTCCGTGAAAACTAGCGGTCAGGAACCGGGCATGCTGTGGGTAGTTGGTCCTATAATAGCGGCACTAATGGTCAGCGTCTGCTTCGTGCTCTTATTCGTCATTAAGAAGTACGTACACATTACGTATCTCTCAGGAATGCAAGTATAAAGCAATTGGTCGGTGACTGTCATGAAATATGCCTCTTTCAGACGGAGGCAACCTTGCAAAGCGCCGGATCAAGCGGCTGTTACGCGGCCGCTCATGGCAGCGGATATTAGCTCCAATCACGCACCTTCCGATCCAGTAGAGATGCGACGATTGAACTTCCAAACTCCTGGCATGATCTCGCATCCGCCGATACCTATCAGCGAATTGGGCAATCACATCGAACGCTTAAAAGCGAACGACAATCTAAAGTTCAGTCAAGAATACGAGTCGATAGAACCGGGCCAACAATTCACGTGGGACCACTCCAATATGGAAGTGAACGCGTCGAAGAATCGTTACGCTAACGTGATCGCGTACGACCATTCGCGGGTCATCCTTCAGACTGTCGACGGCATGCCCGGTTCGGATTACATCAACGCGAATTACTGCGATGGCTACAGGAAGCAGAACGCCTACGTGGCTACGCAGGGACCGTTGCAGGAAACTTTCGGGGACTTTTGGCGCATGTGCTGGGAATTGCGTACCAGCACAATCGTGATGATGACAAAGTTGGAGGAAAGAACGAGGATAAAGTGCGATCAGTACTGGCCTACTCGGGGTTCCGAGACATACGGTCAAATGACGGTGACTATCAGCGACGTGCAAGAATTGGCGACCTATTGCATCCGCACGTTCCAAGTTTGCCGGGTGGGCTATTCCGAACGACGGGAGATCAAGCAGCTGCAATTCACCGCCTGGCCGGATCACGGAGTGCCGGAGCACCCCGCACCATTCTTGCAATTCTTACGTAGAGTCAGGTCCCTCAACGTGCCCGACAGCGGACCGCTGGTGGTGCATTGCAGCGCTGGTGTGGGAAGAACCGGCTGCTTCATCGTGATAGACTCGATGCTTGAGAGAATTAAACACGAGAAAATGATAGATATTTACGGACATGTGACGTGTCTGCGCGCTCAGAGGAACTACATGGTGCAAACGGAGGATCAGTACATCTTCATACACGACGCCCTGCTCGAGGCGGTGATCTGCGGCAATACCGAAGTACCGGCGAGGAATCTACACTCTCACATTCAGAAGCTCATGCAACCGGAGATCGACAACATAACCGGAATGGAGCTGGAGTTTAAGAAGCTCTCCAACATCAAGGCCGATTCGACCAGATTCATATCCGCGAATCTACCATGCAACAAGCATAAGAATCGATTGGTACATATTTTGCCTTACGAGTGCACCAGAGTGTGCCTGCAGCCGCAGCGTAACATCGAGGGATCCGACTACATAAACGCCAGCCTGATCGACGGCTACCGCTATCGAGGAGCTTACATAGCGACGCAGGGTCCTTTGTGCGACACCACGGACGACTTCTGGCGTATGCTGTGGGAGCACAACTCCACGATCGTCGTGATGCTGACGAAACTGAAGGAGATGGGCAGGGAGAAGTGCCATCAGTACTGGCCGTCCGACCGATCCATCCGTTACCAGTGCTTTGTCGTTGACCCGATCGCGGAGTACAACATGCCACAGTACATATTGCGCGAATTCAAAGTGACGGACGCGCGCGACGGCGCGAGCCGCACGGTTCGGCAATTCCAGTTCATCGATTGGCCAGAACAGGGTGTCCCCAAATCGGGTGACGGTTTCATCGACTTTATCGGCCAAGTGCACAAGACGAAGGAACAATTCGGCCAAGACGGGCCGATCACCGTGCACTGCAGCGCAGGTGTCGGCAGGACGGGTGTCTTTATCACACTTAGCATCGTATTGGAACGAATGCAGTACGAGGGTGTCGTCGACATTTTCCAGACCGTGAGAATATTGCGCACGCAACGCCCGGCTATGGTACAGACCGAGGTTTGTAAACATAATGAAACATATACATTCTCAGCAATTGTATACGCGTCTTTCACGATGTTATTTTTTTTGCAGGATCAATATCAGTTCTGCTATCGGTCTAGTTTGGAGTATTTAGGCTCTTTCGATCATTACGCCAACTGACAAGTCGACTCTCGCGAGCAGAGGGATCTGTCGAGGGATAAACGGCAGCGGGGCGAGAGAGATATCGAGAGAGCAAAAGTACGACGTGTCTAGTACAATAAAGTCGTGTGACATACCTTCCAAGGACAAATACAGTAGAAACGCGATTACTAGTGTCATGAAAACAGGCAGTTAAACATAGAGGCGAAACGATTTAGTCAATGATGTTGCAGTAAATTGCAAGATTCCATGCTGGAAATTTTCACTCTTTACGACACGGCAGCGTGAGTCGCGTGCCGAGAGAAGATGATCTAAATCTTCTCTGTAGAGGTTAGATTTCGAAAGTTCCCTCGCAGTGCAGCGAGTCAAAACTGCCGCCGCCGCTTAGAAATACGTACAATGCGCGCGTGGTTGTACGAACGATCGCATCGTACGTACCTACGTTCCTCGTACGTAGACACACATACGATGTTCTTTTCTGTTTACACGAGCCTCGCTCGTCAAAACGAAGCGGACCCTTCATTTCTAGATGTTCTCTCTCACGTTCGAGAAACTCTCACTGTCGAGTACGACGATGTAATCAAAATTGTGGGACGGATCATCCACATGTAGGACTCACATTTTGCGATTTAGTGAATTGGAACATATCCCATATCGTCGAATCGTTCATTCGTAAAAGAAACAAAAAAACAAGGAAGACACACTTTTTAATCTCTAGATAATCTAATTTTAAGATAGACTGAAAAATATTACGACCATATCTCTCCCGCTCGAAATAGCTCGAATAGCGCGTTACGTATTTTTTCGTGCATGGGGTACCTCTTACAAACTGAGACAGCGAAGATCAAACCTTTCCTGTTTATTGAAGATAAGAGTGCTTCCTTCAGTAGCGATTGCGTAGAGGAACGAAAGTGTATTGATGTCTGAAGTCTATGTATGTGAGAGGAAGACAGGGTACCGAAATGCACGATTGACTGCGTGTATGCGTGTGAAGCGCACATCGTGCGCTTACAGCGAGAATTCGTTGTGCATGGCACGTTTCACAAGCACTGATTAAGGAAAGAAAACAGATTGAGAAATCAATCCAGTGACTTTCCTTAGCTACTGATAAAGAAGAAGCAAGAGAAAAAGATAAACAGGCAGAGAGAAGGAAAGAGAGAGATGAAAATTTCCGCTCACAAGAAACAAGAAAATTGCCATACTGCCAAATTGACAATTATTAATGCTGTACTCATTATGAACAGTAGGGATCTTCTCATTACCTATTATAATGTTAGATAGATCTTATAAGAAAATTGTTTTAAGATTAGAGATTAAGCGATGCCACTAGGGAAATGAAATGATGATGAAAATGACTCGAGTGAAAGAAGGATGAAAGGAAACGGTGCCTATATTCAATGAAAGGTGCGCACGTGAATTTGTGCACACTTCTAGGAAGAAAAAACAAGAGAAAATTAATTTAAATAGGAGCACTGTATGTTGAATTCGTGTACTGTTCTTCCGAGCCCTCGACGCCCTCATGTACAAAGTTCCAACGTAGCTTCTACCTCGAGTACGCTATATCTTTCGAATTCTGTGTATCGAGATAGACAGTTCGCCGCAAGTTCGATTTTCTCCGCATCATCATTTTGCGTCATCACTTGGCTCATCGAATGTTTCACATCGATATTTATACCGAAAAATATTTACGCTTACGTTGGTTCACCGACACCTGTGTGTAGCGTACGCTTTTACGATTTCAAATACGAGCCAAATCAATGCCAAAGCGCTCATTTCAAGGATAACGCTACGCGCGTGATACAGCTATTATTGTGAGAGGCGATCGATTCAAGTATTTTTACAATGTCATGTACTTGTAATATAATTTTTTTAGAATCGCCAAGAAGTAATTCTTCTCGCAATGTAAAATACTCGGTTTACAACGGCAATGAGTTTGGACACACTTATATCGTTTGATTTAAAGTAGCAAACTTTTTCAAACCGCGAGGACAATAATCGTGCGTTCGTCTACATCTTCTATATTGCTCGAAAACCGGACCGTACGTACGTTTGGTATGACAATTCGTCTCGTCGCTAATGTTGCAAAAAATAAATATCCCAACTTTAGATTACGTAAGATATTTGTGCGATAACGAACGCGACGTCGCCTCGAAAGTGATAGCGCTCGAAAAGTTTATCAAAAAGGAATTTATCTTACTTGTTCACTTGGTTGCAATAATTCCGCGAAATGCAAAATATGGTTGAGACACGCCTGTGTATCGTCGCATTCCACAACAGCACTTCCATGATTTCGTACTTTTTTGTGTACCCCCTTTTTACGTTGAATTCGAGTGGTTCGAGGGTCAGGAACTGTGACTAAATGTACATAAAAAGCACCGTCTGTCATTAGCAACATTATATAAATATATACATATATAAATATATATATATATATATATATATATATATATAAAATGATGAATAATATATACATAGATATATAAATATCGTAAAAAAAAAGATGCGAGTGCGCATAAGAATGTGCAAATATTATGCAAAACACATACACACACACACACACACACACACACACACACACACACACACACGTTTCCAGAGAGTATCGTGTTAAGTTTTAAGTGAGAAACGCGTTGCGTAATCTACTCGTAATACTTAAACTCCCCTTCAACACCTTTTACTTACGATTTTACACCTTTTTGATATTATTTTTTTAATTGTGTGCTTTTTTTAAATGATGTTTTGTAGCGTAATCGTTTTCTTTCGATAGGGACGTACTTCTACGCAACGCCTTCGTGCAAAATATTGCTTTCTGGACTGAATACATAATTCCGGGAGAGTCGTTTATTCGCTTTATTGTCGAGGTACTTCTTGTTTTGTCGTCAAACTGAGGGCCATCATGTATAGCATTTACTACTATCTATATTTTCTCGTGCTTGTGTGAGAGTACTTAATTTATTCTATTACTGTCAAAATGGCATAATTATACCAGTGATATACACGTTAAATTTCCCACTGCCCAATAAATCGTTCGTAAATATGGCATTTATAACTAATTTCTAATTTAATGATAATTATTATATCGCTACTATGCTTGTAACAATAATGATAATGTTAGTCGATAAACGTGATTCTACAATTTTTGTTTTATGTCTAGAATTTTAATGTACGATATCTTAATTTTGCACTAACGTTTTTAAGTTACCACGCTAAGTGTTTCTGGAACACAGTCGGCAGCGAGATGCGACTCATTACGATTCAATAATGTTTGGCCTTCAGTGTAACCACATGCATCTGTTTACTTTAATGTGCAGCGTTTTACTTTTTTAAGAGAAAGTGTATATTTATACAATATTTTCTTTCCACGGAATTATTTCTTTTCTCGTCGATTTGATTTATGTATTTGTTACTTTAGTACAATTTATGTTCAATGTAACAAGCGTTCTCAAATCGATTAGGTCGCGATCACTTTAGTGAAGAGGGATTCTTCCATGGCGTCTCTTTCTTTCTTTGAGTACACATAATTTAAAAGACTGTAATTGGTATTCAAAGATTCTTAAAGCAGGCTCACACATTCCTCGAAAAAAATATCGCTAATGAGACGTTACACGCAGCGTATGACTGGATAATGTTTGTTAGCTCTCTTACGATATACGACTGAAAGCGCTAAACACGAAACTCAAAACAATGCGTTAAAGACATTTAGGATAAGAATGAGTGATATTTTCAAGATTATATGTTGTACACATCGGGAAGCTTCATCTGTAAATAATACTGACTTGTTTCCATTGAGATGTTTTCGTCCGATTCTTCGATGCACATTATGCGTAATTCATCAATTGATTCATAGTTTTACGATATACAGCTAAACCATTTTGACTGCTGTTTTTCGGCGAAATAGTTCCTCTCGCCATATGGAAATATTTCTCGATAAGGAGACCATTAGCTTTTCTCGATTGTAAAAGTCGGAAACGCCCTGTACACATTATGATTTATATTATAACATTCTTACACGAAAGAGAGAAATTAAAGACTTTGCTAAAAAGTAATTTTTCGAATCGTCATTATAGACACTCATCTGTAAGGTTTTCTCATTAACGTTCATCCCCCAGCGATATAGCAATGTGTAAAGAAACAATTAAGTTGTAATAGCGCGAAACTCGACCTTCATGGAAAAATTGCTCGACTTTGAGATTTCGATGTAATTACTACGAACCTATGTATTTTGCCAACTTTCTTGATGGCTTCACGTTTCAAGTTCCAGGCTAAAATACGTTACGCGCGAGAAACGAAATTATAAATTATTGTATAAATATACTACTAGTTATAAGTTGGTATCGTTAATCTATACTCACTAAAATTTATCACTACAAGGAAGTCCACGATATTCGTACATTTATATTAATAACATACTAATAATTGTAATGTTACTAAGTTTTTTGTATCATTCCAGAACTTTCGTATACGTTGTACTTTGGTAGCGTGTCCCTCGTTAGTCTTTATAATTTTTTATGACGTGAGATGTATAGAGCAATATGTGGTTTGTTGTATTCTTCTTCTTGAAAAAAAAAAAAAAAAACGTACACAACTCGCGTCTTCGGAGCGGTTTTGATAATGTAATGAAATACAATCGGCTACACGTTAGCTCCGTGCAATATAGCGAGTTCATTACTGTGTATAAGATCGCCTCAAATTCATCTGCGGATGAATCAGCAGAGTGGCCCCGCGGTCGCGTGCGCTCGCACGAATCCGAAGAAGAATATGAATTTAAAAGCAAAGAATAAGTCAAATACTAAATATCGTTGAAAGAATGGGAAATTATTTTGTGATACTTTCTTGCCAGAAAGAATACAACAGGCTGAGGTAAACATGAATAAAAATGCAATGTTACTAATTAACAACTATACAAAATAAATATTGTGTAATAGGAAGAGTCTGTTGACAAGGAAAAAATACCGTGTACATTATGTATTGCCTTGCGGCATCAATAAACTAGTACTAACGTAACAGGATACTGTTCTTTTTTTTCTACCCGCGCTGTGCGTTGTCAAAGAACGCCGACGTAATGGATCGGATGGGTATTGTCTGAAACTGTGCAGCAACACACACACATACACACAGAGCAGATAAAAGTGTAGTAACGATTTATTATAGAACGCTTAGAAGATACTGTCTAACATCATTATTTACAAACGTTTGCAAAGATTCGTTAAATTATTCGGCAGGAGAATACAGACGTCGCATTACGGATCAATGCTGACAAATAGATCTATATGACATTAGTCGGTTGATTAGAATTATTTGTCGGAGGACTTCTTGTCATCATCGAGGCCACCTGTGGCAGAAGAAAAATTCAGAGTAAACACATTATAAACACAGATATAAATAAAAAGTATGCGTGAAAGATTATTTAGTTCGCTTCGAGAGGAAAATGTACATTTTGAATCACTTGTTTCCTGAAGAAATCACTCGTGGCCGTTGAGATATTCTTGTCATTTCCCATTTTACATTGGACATAGCCGTACAAGTTTGCGCCATTTAAAACAATGGCGATACAGACGAGCAAAAGCCATTTGAATCTAAGACTGAACAATGCGGTGATAAAGTGTATTGACCAAAGAAGCGGGCACAAGATCAGAGCCAGCCAAAATATACGCGCCTCGGTTGCGTTAATGCGATTCTGTTGAGCACCCTGAAACACAGGGCGCATAGCAGATATTGGATTTTCAGACGAGAATCGTGTTCAATAGTGATCTAATTTATTTAGTCAGCTGACATCTCGTTAAATAAACACAATAATCGGCAACTGTGACAGTAAAATAAATTCAATCAAACAATTGTCTGTAATGCATGAGGAACAACGGTGGATTTAGAAAGTGTCAAGAGTATATGGCGTGGAACAGCTGGTAAACCTTGAATTACTCAATCTGATTAAATCAATGTTCAGTGAAACGTAACATATGTAAAAAAAATATATATATACTTGACAACTGAAAGTTATGTTAATGCAAGAGTTGTAAATGCTGCGATAATTATACTACAACCGGATCTCACATCACCTGCTATAAATATAAAGTAACGTGTGAGAGTTTATATGACACATACAATATATTCAAGCTTTTTAATGCAATTATTCTCTTAATCTATTACACAGGACTTGAGATTTCATAATCAATTTAAAACATTCAAAATAAAACCACGATAAATGATATATGCATAAATGAGCATTCGATGCAAGTGAAAATACACGTCAGAATATATATGATAAGAAGCGAACCTTCTTAGACTCAAAAACCCAATGACTCTTGCCATCGTCATCCACATAATTCCACCATCTAAGGCCAACCATTAATCTGCCCGTAATATTCTTAACTGTCCAGAAATCCATCGACAAAAGTAGTATAATGGTTACAAAGCTTGCTATAAAACCATCAGTAAAGAAACCGCAAAGCATGTAAACTAGTATGGCTGCTATCCTGAAGGCCAAGTGAAACAGCGTAACGTATGGATGTCTAGAATTGCAAAGGATAATATTTCATCTTACAGACGTGTAATCCACTTGCGTTAAGAGAGGTATGTTATATGTACTTAAGCTTGTTGGCATTTCGGGCCACCTCCTCCTCCTCGCCGAATGCAATCGTATCGTCGTCCATCAGTAAAGGTACCTATAAACAAAATCGCGAAATATTCGCAGAAAGAGCGTCGAGTATGCGTTCAATCGTTCTTACGCCAAGATCATACGTGTAACTGCGTATTTATGATACAGATGAGGAGACACGAGAATGAGAAAGAAAGAGACGAGTCGCGAAGTGAAACCCCGAGAACACCGTTTGCCCACGTCTATTAGCACGAAAAATTGCGACGTTATAATTAACGAATCCTTCCTTCGCTGGTATACATACGGAAAACGAACGGCAGAGAGAACAACCTTCCACTTACTATCGCCAACTAGAACTATTATTCCCGGTAGTCCCGTCCGTAAGAAAACGACTATTTCGCTACACGGGACAATCGAGTGCTTCGGGGGCACTCTACGACTAAAAAACAGAACACACACCAAAGATGTAGCGTCAGTATGCGGTTGATAGCGCGGACAATCGTCAGACACCTACCGATGCGGACGCCATGTTTCGCACGTTGACAGCCACCGCGTCGTCTGCTGCAACGGTCGACGGTAGCGCCCGGCGGCGGCTCGACTTTGTTTACCGTCGCGCGAAAACACGTTTTTTTTTCCAAATGTAACGTGACTCTCGGCGTTCCGGCGTTTCACCGAGCATTGTCGATCAAGGTGAACACCTTGACATCGTTAATAACCGGTGCGGCCTCGTCGCGAGTCAACGGTAGCAGATCGCGTCCACACATTTGCCAGCTCCGACTGGCCGTCGGCGATTGGTCGAAAACGGAAGCACAGTATGTGCTGCCACGGTGCTAACGTAGTACGTCACGCGGACGTGAGCAACCCTGCTTATCGGCGCGAGGGAGAGAAATCGAAGGCGCGCGCGCGCGCGCGTCCGGCCCCGCTTCCGCCTCCGCCCGCACCCACATGTACATCGCGCTCACGTATCTACGCACGTCGTGTCCGGTCTTACACACGTGTGGAAGACGCGTATGTGCGTGCGAATCAATTAGAACGATATTCGGAAGTCGCGATTGACGACACACGGGTGCGGAGGCGGCGGGCGGTAATGTGTCGCGCGACATGGTCGTTCGTTCGTACGTACATACGTGGTAGTGGTGTCGGTGGCTCGATGCTCGTGCGTCGATGGTGCGCGCAGTGGTTGAGATAAGCAGCGCGGGGGACTGAGTGCTCACGCAGATCTCGTGTCGTGTTCGGCTCTTTCGTGGATCGTTCTCGCTCGCTCGCTCGCTCACTCTTTCACTCGGCCGTTGTCGCGCTCCCGTACGTCGGCGCCGTGACGCGTTCGTACGTCGACCGCATATAAGCCACGCTCGTCTCGCTCGATGTGACGTAGGGACGCACTCGCTCAGGATGATCAAGGATCACACAGCGACCACTCAGGCGCTCCTCGGGACTCTGTTCACGTGGGCTCTCACCGCAGCCGGCGCCGCGCTTGTCATCGTCATACGAGGGAAACAAGTGAGTACTGTTACCATTTATTCTTCGCGCGTGGTTGTCGCTGTTGCTGCTGCTGCTGCTGCTGCTGCTGCTGCTGCTGCTCGCGATGAGCTTCCTCACTTTCGCGTCGAACGCGTTCAACGTCCCCGTGATAGGCGTACGTCACAACGCGTCGACAAACTTAACCTCACTCGCGTGCCGCGTACAATATTCTTTCGGATCAGCACTCTGAGCGCGCGTCCTACACTGTCTTAAGCGTTCTTTCAATTGCACTTCCTACACCTTTTGCTTTTACTCCGCCTCCGTAAATTCGTTCGGGCGTTTTCTCGTCGCAAATTACATTTCCAAACAGCCCATGCTATATCCATGACACGACACAGATCTAATAGAGAGGGGAAACACGCACCTTATCGCGCTCGACAATCTATTATAGTTTAATTGTTAAAACATGGAATATACTAGCCTGTCAACTCGCAAAGCGGAAGGACCAATCAGCGTTGTCGCGTCGAACGTAAAGTCGATTATCGATACGACACGAATGAACTTAGGCGCGAGGCATTTCCGGAGGGAAAACGGTAACGTCGTTCTTTTGGAAGAAAAATGGCACCTCGACCGGTCGCACGAACGTCCACGAGCACGTTTCTAGCGGCTTCAGCAGTAGCAGCAGCAGCAGCAGCAATGTCGTCCACCTGCTTGCGTAAGTGAAGGCCAACGTACGGCGTATTTAAATTTAGAGTTGGTTCAACGAAACTAGCTCATCGGCGCTCATAGCCACGGCGTCTCTTCGCCTTGCGGGATTGATGCGTGCATAATCCGCCGCTTCCTCCGACTTTAATCCTCCTACTTCCTGCGACTTAATTCGCGTGAGCACGACGGGAGAACGACGGGAGATCGCGCGCTTTCACATTTTCCTACGCACGCCGTGAACAGGCCGTCACGAATTTTGTCCTCGTTTGTCAAGATAACCGCCACGTTCACCTTCGAGCGATGTGACCTTCATTACGAGCTTCACTCGTTAATTTGCTACATCGCGGACCCGGACATAGGGAAACTCGCTTCGCAGTATATCGCTCTGTAAAATCACGTTAACGACCACAATTCACTAATTATCTACGAAAAGTACGAAGAAATTACTTTACATAGTAATTTATCATTTTTTATATATACATTAGAAAATGTAGCGTGATTTTTTATTTATTTATTTTTTGTGCATTGAATTTCGAGAATGCTTTGTAACATTCGTAATACGTGAAATGGAAAATATTTTCAAGTTACTAGAAAAAAACTGTTTGCTTTAGATTTTACTTTTTTTATCGACATTTTATTATAGACTTTCCTTGTTCTAATCTTGATGTGATAGTGAGATAGTAGAGTAGAATCTATTTTTCCTACTTTTGATATCAATGGCTGATATAATATGCGCGTAAGATATACAACTAACGTCACCTCATTTTTTTTGTAAACATCATTCGAGCTTATCTTCATAATAAAACTACGTTTCACTGAAATAGTACCAAATTATTTATAGTATCTGTAATATCCGTAACTATGACTAACTGCCAGTACTGGCAGTGAATATCGAAACATAGCCTAATGCTACAAATTCTAAACAGAATCGTAACTCTCGAAACTTGTTCCCGTGAAATCCGCAAGAATTCTATACATATCATACTTACGATCACTTGTAAATATCATAAATGACGTGAAATCGTACATATTTACAAACGATCGTATGATACAGGATACATAGAGAATTGTATACCTGTTCATAAATTCTTACGAATTTTACGAGAGCAAGCTACGAATCTTGTTTTAAAATAAAAGCCACACAAGTACTACGTCATGAAAAATAAATCCTATAAGTAATAAGAATTTTTTGCGAGGGAAGAGGCCGTCTCGTAAATATTTTGTATAATTTTCGCAGTACATTTGCAAAAGAGATTATTTAATTGATATCGCAAACGTTATCGTACGAAAAGCAAATAAGACTTGTCGATCGTACTTCCGTGTAATTGATATACGAGATAAAAAACACGTACGCTTACGCTTACGAAATATTGACACGAGATATTGATATTCGTTTTGTATTAAGCACACGTACGTTCCAAGTAAATACTCATACCACACCCCTGATGTCTCGACGGAAGTTAAACTTGAACTTGGCGAAATCGAGGAAGCGAATTATAAGTTACATCGGCAAAGCTATTTCGCGATGAAATAAACGTGCAAATTCGCGAGATTGAAATTTATGACATTCGTGGCAAATGCTATTTCTTTACGTTCTTTTGCTAGATCGCGCAAATACCGTCCTCTGACCTTAAAGTATAAATAAGTGGAGCTATTTTGTAGTATACGCTTCAAGTGTCTTTAGAAAATAAACACGCGCCCGCGCGCGCACACACACACACACACACACACACACACACACACACACACACACACACACACACACACACACAC